AACCAAGAACACTACTTAAAATGTATAATCGTTATTTATTATCATGTTTATTTGACTTATCAAGGTAATTATTTTATTGTATATTGTATTTTATATAAATGTACTTCGTAGAAGCGAATTTTATGCGTAATAAATGCTATAAATCAAATTGAGATTTGTGTGTATTATTGAACTTTCACGGAATTATAAAAAACTAGTTGAACTCGTTCAAATATGGATGCTGTTGTCAATAGTAGGTACATACCACATCACATGTGTCAATCAGATAATCCTTTTATCATAATAGCCTGACCTAGTACATAAGTAGTACACCACTAAGTGGTGTTGAGCCTCAATATGAAAAATAGTGGACCTAGAGTCGCTAGAAATATAGAATCTGAGTACCAGCACCAATATGATGACAAAATGGTTACTGCTAAGGCTATCTCTGTTTATTTTCACATCCTCTCATGGCATTTCGGTGATGTTAAGTGTTCCTGATCCTGCAGTATGTATGTAAATTTTAATTGCTGTAAAATTTTCATTTCAATGAGCCGCTTGTATAATAAAAATTGTCCAGAAAAACGTAAAAATCAAATTCAAACTGTTCCTATCTGTCAATTCTAGGGAATTTCCAAATGTATGACGGAGCATCACTTGAGCACAGCTCATTCGATTAGACTGATTTACTTTTTGTTCTATTTGTATTTGTCAGGACAAGGTTTGTATGAGTGAAAAATTTTGGAAAATACACGGGAAAATCCGGAAATTCGGATAGTATTTTTGTATGGAAAAACCTTCATATTATAAATTTTGACATTTTTGTTTTGGTCAGATTTACATGAAACTTGANGAAAAACCTTCATATTATAAATTTTGACATTTTTGTTTTGGTCAGATTTACATGAAACTTGATTCAATTTCGACGGGAAGCTGAAAGGGGATTGCATAGAACGTTTTTGCTTTTGGACAGATTTATTTGAAACTTGGTTAAAAATTCAACCTCTTAAGGGGGGGGGGAAGTGAAAAGTAGTTGCAATGTTTGAATGGGGCATATATTATTTTTCGTCAGATTTACTTGAAACTTGGTCTTAATGCTCCCTCATTTAATTATAATGAAACACCTATCCCGGCATTTTAAAAAATTCAACCTCTAAAGGGAATGGGCGTAAAAAGGGGTTGTAATTTTTTTTGGGACATATTTTATTTGTGGTTGAATTTGCTTGAAACTCGGTATTTATGTTATTTGACATAATCAAATGAAAAGGGGTTGCAATGTTTCTATGGGGTACATTTTATTTGTAGTCGGATTTACTCGAAGGTTACTCTTAATGCTTATTGTTGAAATTAAGCAAACACCTGTTCCGGCAATTTTTAAAAATCAACCCTTAAGGATGAAATGTTGCTACGTTTGTATTTGAAATGTAAGATGGCGACATTACATAAAATTAAAACATTGTAGGGGTAAATTGGGAGTTAAAAAAAAGCTAATACCTAGGTTGACAAGCAATTTAGTCGATGACTTATTGTCTTAATGTTATATGAAATATTTTTTAACGTCATAATAAAAACAGGTTATAAAAAGAAATGTTTGTTATTGTTAAGTTTTATTAAAAGAGATACATGTGGTTTGTTACTTACACCTATTTATTGTTTTATCACAAACATCATGTACATGCATAACGATTTTAAACAACTAGATTTGAGAATAATTAGTGCAATGAGGTAAAGGCATCGACCAGTTTCCATTTTCCATACATTTGGGTCTTGGTTCTACTGGCGTTTCGTAACCTGGGTCGCATATAACTTGTAATTCGTCTCCTGGTTCGTAAGAAAATTTCGATGGAGCTGTATGTCCATTTTTTGGTTCACCAAGATATGAGCAACGCGGTTTGCCTTAAACGTTAAATATTTAGAATGTTTTAAGAATATAAGAAACTTTTGATATTAAAAAAAAAACAAGTAAAGCATTTAGGATTACCAACTCGACAAGTATAACTGTTTTAGAAAACTTTACAATAATATTCTTGTATTTTGTGATTACAAAATGATTGCATTATCGTTTAACGCGTCCTTGGCTTCTTGATTCTCTGCAGTGGAAGTATTCATTTTAAAAATTCATTCAATACTTACAAAATGGGGGTGGATGGGACCAAAATCCAGTTTCTGTACATATGATGCTAGCTTCCCCTTCAAGCACATGAGCCCCCTTGCAAGCAAATTGAACAAGACTTCCAACAGCATACCTTTCACCATCCATTCCTGCAGCTTCTGATTGAATTAGATGACCATACAATGGGGTTACAGGTGGTGGACATTGGATTGCTAAAAATTGACAATCAATTGAGGACAAATATTAATATTATGAAAAACTATTAATCTTCTTATATACGATGATGTCGGAATCTGTCCTTTTTTATTTTGGGATTCCTGAGACAAAAGGTATAAATGGAACCTTTACAGTTTTATGATGTCCCTTTGTTTGTTCTATTACACCCCTCGTCGTTTCTGCAGTTTTTAACCCATTATGTGAACGAAATTTTGCACGTAGTTGTCTAATGATTTGACAGAGACCTCATTTTACAATGTAACAAATTTTATCTTCTTTAAGTACTATCTTTTGTAACAAAAAATTGGATAATTCATTTTGAAACTTGCTACTCGAAATATTTATCTTTAAAGTCATCAGCAATATGTCTCCTCCTGCTATTAGAAAAACAATCATAAAATATAGGGTTAATCTTGGAAGTAGATGATGAGTATTTTCAATTAAAATTATTTGGAGTACTTTTACGGAATTAAGCTTAAATTAATCGTATGGATCATCGACACGCGGTGAACTAAAAATTTTTGAAAAATTAAACAATACTTTTAACGCATTTATTAATACCTACCATATAAAATTGTCTAAAGAATGTTACTGTGTAAATTTTTGAAAAATGTTGATGCTGTTTAATATGTACAAAATATAATTATCAATTCTAATAAGTATGAACATTAAGGGTATAAATAAAAAAGGCAAAAAAGTAAGTCAATATGACACTTACGAATACATTTTGGTAAGGGCCCTGACCAGTTACCATTAATTTCGCATTCGATACCAGGAGGACCAACCAACTTATATCCCCAAGTACAGCTAAATACTGCTCTACCTCCATAACTTGAATTGTGTTCTTCCAATTTTAAATGCGGTTCCTCTAATCCTGCGGGAGAATCCAATGCGGGACATCGAACCGGTTCACAGCTAGGTATAATTGACGACCATTTACCTATAGGAAAAATATAAATTTTTAATATGTTATACAAACATTGAATGATATTTTCTTAGTTAATGGTGAATATAAAGTACTTCAGTTTAAACTTAGCAAAATATCACATTTTTTTAAAAGGAATTCAGTAAATGTGAATCGATAAATTGTATATTACTTAGGTATCTACATTTTATAATTAGTACAAATAAAAAAGAAGTAACATGCAAACTGGAAAGCTTTAATTTAATTTTACATCTCTTTTTTTTAAAAATATGATGAATTATGAATAATGAGATAAAAATAGCATTACAAATTACAAACCCATTACAGCGGAAAAACAGATATGTAAAATATATCGTAAAGATATACCTAGTGATATTTTCGAAGGGCTTTTGGTCTTCATAAATTTCTGACAAAATAGTGAGAAGCGGTAATACAAAATTGACTACATAAAAGTATCAAAGAATAAAAAGAATTAGTATTTGAAATCCGCTTTGGAAGATCAAGGTCTTATTACGTTTTTATTCTTCGAACTGTTTTCACGGACATGAAAACATCAAAACTACATGATGTAATGCATTCTTCTCTTGTGATTTAATAAATTCCATCGCTCGGTAGTAAGGGTTACCTAGTACTGTTTCGTAGCCTTCATATCATGCATAATTGTTTAATGTTCTGTTAAGAAATCTAGAGAGTAATATTAAAAATTTTATGCGTCAGTCAAAAATGAACAGCCTTAGAACTTTTTATAGAACGCATTGGTTTAATCGTTAACAGTTCAAACATTCCATAAAATGTTTCAGGTCTAACACTATGAGCTTTTGACTTAAGCATCAACAAACCTACGAGGGTGGATTGATAAGTTTCCGGCCTAACCAAGAGATGACGCCACTAGGCCTACCTTGAGGTGACATTCTATAGTATCATGTTATATGAAATATTTTTTAACGTCATAATAA